GCCTCAGTGCTGTTGGCTGGGGGAGCCCTGGGGGGCTCCAGGGGTGTCCCTGCCCCGTCCCACCCCGCTGCCGTTCCCCGCAGGACGAGAGCCACTCGGAGTGGGTGTCGTGCGTGCGCTTCTCCCCCAACAGCAGCAACCCCATCATCGTGTCCTGCGGCTGGGACAAGCTGGTGAAGGTGAGCCCCGGGGAGGGGGGGATTCAGCCCTGCCATCCCGGGGTTTGCCCCCTCTCATCCCGCTTTTCCCGCCCCAGGTCTGGAACCTGGCCAACTGCAAGCTGAAGACGAACCACATCGGGCACACGGGCTACCTGAACACGGTCACCGTGTCCCCCGATGGCTCCCTCTGCGCCTCCGGGGGCAAGGTACGGCCCGGGGGATGCTGGGGGACACTGGGGGACACCTGGGGGATGCTGGGGGGACACTGGGGGACACCTGGGGGATGCTGGGGGACACTGGGGCTGCACCCCAGCCCCAGTTCCCGTTGTGGGGTGCCTGGGTTGGTCACGGTTGGAGCGGGGAGAGGGGAGGCCTCACTGCAGGGAACCTCTTGGGGCTCCTGGGGATTCTTTTGGGGCGTTCCTGAAGGTCCCCAGGATCTTCCTGGCACCTTTCGGAGCTCCCACAGACTCCTGGAGCTCTCAGGGATGTTCTGGAGCTCCTGGGGTCTGTTGTGGAGCTCTGTGGCCCCACTGGGGGATCCCGTGGGTGTCCGTGGGGCCGTCCCGGAGCTCGGTGTCCCCGCGCTGTCCCCAGGACGGGCAGGCCATGCTGTGGGACCTCAACGAGGGCAAGCACCTGTACACGCTGGACGGGGGGGACGTCATCAACGCCCTGTGCTTCAGCCCCAACCGCTACTGGCTCTGCGCCGCCACCGGGCCCAGCATCAAGATCTGGGTATGGAATTCGGGAATCGCCGCTGGGGCTGCCCCGGGACCCCCCTGTGATGAAACACTCGGATGCCTCCGACCGCTCCGTGGGGAAACCCAGAGGCTGTTTCTGAGCCGGGCTTGGGTGGCACCTGGGTGGGATCCAGGTGGGACGGGGGTCGTTCCTCACCTCTCCACCCCCACAGGACCTGGAGGGGAAGATCATCGTGGACGAGCTGAAGCAGGAGGTGATCAGCACCAGCAGCAAAGCGGAGCCGCCCCAGTGCACGTCCCTGGCCTGGTCGGCCGATGGGCAGGTGAGACCCTGGGCTCCCTCCCTGGGGACCCTCACCTGGCCAGGGGAATTCACCTGGGGACCCTCACCTGGCCGGGGAACATTCCCCTGGGACCCTCACCTGGGCAGGGAACATTCCCCTGGGGACCCTTCCCACAGGGACAAGGGTTTGGGGAATGAGGGCCCTCCCTGGCTCAGGCGGTTTGGGGACCCCTGACCTGTCCTGGGGGGTTTGGGGGACCCCTGACCTGTCCTGGGGGATTTGGGGACCCCTGACCTGTCCTGGGGGTTTGGGGACCCCTGACCTGTCCTGGGGGATTTGGGGACCCCTGACCTGTCCTGGGGGTTTGGGGGTCGGGGCTGCTCGGGGGTGACGCTGCCCTGAGCCCCTGTCCTTGTCCCCAGACGCTGTTCGCCGGCTACACCGACAACCTGGTGCGGGTGTGGCAGGTGACCATCGGCACCCGCTGAGCCCCAAACCCCGCGGTTTTACCCCAAAAACACCAATAAACGGCGCTTTACAGAGCTGTGTGTCGGCTGCTGGGATAAACCGGGGTTGCGGGGCCAGAACCTTGGGGAGGAGGAAAACGCTGCTGCCGTCACCGGGCTGCGATTTGGGGACGTTCCTCATCCTCCCCCCCGCTGTAAAAACCCCAAATTCAAACAAAACAAACCCCAAAATAGGGAAATACGAGACACGAGGAACCCGGCCTGGCTCCAGGCAGTTCTGGAATATTCGTTGGCGTGGAATCTCCGCACAGCAGCTCCACTCTGGCCCAAAGTGCCGTTTTTTACCATTTTGGGGGGGTTTTGATGCCTTTTCCTGACTGTTGGATGCTACTTCAGAGGAGAAGGGGGAGCTGGGGACCCGGACATGCAGCTCCAGGTCATCCTTAACCAATTAACGAGGATCAGGGCGGGATCAGGGAGCTGGGATTGCACCCGTGCTTGATTTTGGTGATGTTGGGGGGGCCCCGACCCCAGTTTCGGGGTAATTTACCCCAGACTCGTCCTGGAAATGGCTCTTCCCAGGATCCAACAACCTGGAGCCTTGGATACAACTTCTTTTATTCTTTATTATTGACGTGTCATAAAACTAAATCTCCATTTAATTCTCATTTTAGCCAAAAATATCCCGAACGAGCTCTGTAACGCCAACAGGAAATTCCCAAATCCACCAAAATCCAGGGAAACGTGAGGGGGAGTGTGAGGGGGGAGCTCCCGAGTGGGACAGGATCCGGCTGGAAATAAAAAGGGGGAAAAATAAATATTCCCCAACTCGGGGAGCTCCAGAGCTGCGGGGGGGAAGCGGCTCCTCCCAGCCCCGTAAAGTGCCAGAGGGGAGAGGAAAATCCAGGATTTTCCCCCAAAAATGGCAAGGAAAAGGAGGGGAGGAGCAGGAGAACAGCAGGGGAAGAACAGGAACATCAGGGCTGGGGCGGGGGGGGGGCTCAGCTGAATCCCAAAAAATCCAGGCACTGAGAAATGCGGATTTTGGGAAAAGAGTGAGTTTCAAATCTTAGAGGATTTGGCCCCAAACGCAGAAAAACTCCCGGTGATCCGGAAAGGGCCCAAAATTCAATTGGGACACGGCTGGGAGAGGGAGGGAGCAGCTCCCAGCGGCAGGAACTGAACCGGATCCGAGGGGAATGCATCCCAACTCCAAAATCACCTCCAAAAGGGGCGGCTCCTGCCCCGCCCGAACGCAAACCGGCTCCTGAGGGCTGCGTCTCGCCCCGTGAAACACAAAACCAGTCCCAAGAGGGCAGACCCTGCCCCATCCCAACACCAAACTCGGTTCCCAGGTGAATTCCGCCCGTTCCTACCCAAACCCAGTTCCGAGGTGGATCTTGCCCCATCCCGAACCCGCTCCCCATCCTGAGCCGCCCCAGCAGCAGCGGGAGGAGGAGGAGGAGGAACCTCGGGGGCGCAGGAAGCCGGGGGCAGCAGCCCGGGCCCGTCAGGTGCAGATCTTGATGCGGGTGCCCTTGGCCAGGATGCGGAAGAAGGGGAAGACGCGCTCGCGGCAGCAGATGTGGAAGGTGTGGATGTGGCTCATGCTCTCGGCGTTGTAGAAGCACAGCTGGCCCCGCTCGTAGTCCAGGTAGACCCCGAAGCGCCGCGGCTGCTCGCCGGGCGCCAGCGCCGTCTGCTCCGTGGCCGTCAGCGCCTGGTACTTCTTGCCGCTGGTGCCCACGGCCCAGATCTCCCGCTTGGGCGCCGGGGAGGAGCAGCCGGACGCGCCCTTGTGCCGGTGCCGGGT